TCGATAAAAACATTTTGTGTCATTTTTTCCATTTGCTTTGTAAATTTTCTCATCTTATTATTTTGGAGTGCTGCAGTAACTTCTCTAACATCAGATTTGCTTCTATCAATATCCTTATTAGTAATCGTTTAAGAAATTTAGGAAGACGATAAAGTTGAATCTCTACTATCGTCATCAATATTTAATTCATCAATTCTTTTTATTAGTGATTAGTTCTCATTTTTTCCTTTTTCTCTAAATACTATTAATGGCTGTACACAACTATCATTATAATTGAGTAAGTATTCTGACTTATGAATTTTTGAAATCTCTTCTTATATTGAGACCATTTCTTATGTAAAAATATCAATAAGTCTTTCTAATTTCTCATTTTCTACTATCAATTTACTTAATCTATTCATTAATTCCTTTTTTAAGTTTGTCATTCCATCTGATAACCAACTATAAATAAATATGTCTAAAATAAAATTTGGAGTGACAAACTTTTGCTTTTTTTCTATTAAAATGTGAGCTGTTGTACTAGCCATTAAAAACCAAACTTTAGGTAACTATTTTATTAGATAAGTTCTTATTTGACAGCAAATAACTAAGTCATCAACTATATTATCAGGCAAGGGTTTGGCAACAGAATAGTAATAAATAAATGGTCGATTAGAATCAAATGTAAAAGATTATCCTCTTGGAACATCTAGTTGTTCTAGCTAATTCTGCATAGTTTATTGAGTTGTTCTTTAAAGTTTATTTATTTATAATAATTTGTAAGGATTGTAAGAATTTAGCAATTTGCTTTAAGAGAGATTAAATCATTACCAGGATACTCCCAACATTAAAAATAATTTTATGTATTAAAGTTAATTATATGTGTTGTTTTGATTTATTTTTATATGGTTTCGTTTTTCAAAATTTATGGATCTTAATTATTAATTATAATTTAAAAAGTAATTAATTCCATATGTTAATTTGATTAATTAGAAATAAATTAAAATAAATTTATAATTAATTGATTGTTAACAACCTGAAACATACTATAAATGATATATAATTTTAGATCATATATAATTATTTAACTAGCATTGATATATATAATATAGTTGTAATTCAAATTAATTTAATCATTAGTAATGCAAACTAGAATGCTTCTTAATAATTTATTTTGCTAAATTTTAATGTAATTTATTATAATTAGTATTATTATTATTATTAGGTAAAGTATTTTGATTAGTTAAACTATTAATTGTATTATTAGTAATTTATTTTGTTTTAGTAACTACTATTTTATTTATTGAACCAATTGAATTAGTTTTAGTTCTTCCTATGCTGTATTTATTATTTATATTACTACAATTTCTCATATAAATACTATTACTATTTATATTTTTATTTTCTTAATATTTATTAACTCTTTATTATGTATTACTACTTTATTTATTTGTTTTTAGTAAATTGTTCTTCTCGTCATTTCTAATTTAAATTTTATCTCTTTAAGTATCTTCATCATCCCAATCATAAATATATTCCATTCTTAATTCATTTTCTTACATAATTTAAATAAAAAGATTTTTTATAAATTAGTAATCTGGTTTCTCATCAAATTTTAAATTTTTTGTATAATCAACAAATTCCAATAATTGTTAAGGGTAATTTTTACATAAAGTTTCTGAAGATGTGGCTAACTTTTTTTCCATTATTCTATCGTATTTTTCTTTTTAATTATTTGCTCTTAAATTTTACCATGGTAGAGATCCTCTTAAAAAATACATCAATACATAAGCCAGAGACTCTAGATCATCTCTTCTAGATTATTCTATTCCAAGATGTGTATTGATTGAAGCATATCTGGCTGTACCAGTTAATGCTTTGTTATCTTTATAAGGTATATGAAGATCTTTTGAAATATACCTTTTGGCTAATCCATAATCAACCAAATATACTCTATCTTTTTAGGCCTTTCCCATTAAAAAATTATCTGGTTTTATGTCTCTATGAATGAATTATTTGCTATGTAAAAATTCTATACATTCCAACATTTGAATTCCCAAAACACAAACTGTTTACAATGTAAAAATACGATTGTTTTCAGAAAAGAGATCTTCAAGTGATTATCCTAATAATTCCATAACTAAAAAGTTATAACCATCTTGCTAATAATAACCATAATATTTAGGAATTCCTTATCCATTATGATTATTCAAATAGTGATATAATTTTGATTCGAATTCTAATTAAGGATGTTTTGAATCAGATTTCTCTATTTTTATAGCATATTCTAATCCATTTGATTACGAAGAATAAATTTCACCAAAAGCACCAGCTCCTAATTTCTTGATCAGTTTATATTGCCTAATTATATTTGAATAATACTTATTGACAATCGTTCCAGTCATATCTTTCAAAGGGGAGTCCATCTGTTAATTAAAAAATATAATATTATATAAAATTACATAATAAAAATCATTAAAGAGCTTTAATACCAGCTTTTATTTTTGGTTTATTTCTGTCACCTGGTAACTAGACAAAACCTTATTCTTCAAGTAAATGTAGAGCTTCTAAGATTTCTTTTTAATATTGCCTTTTATCAATAATTGTTTATTCATTTGTTTAAGCAGCTATGATGGTATTAATCTAACAAATAATGATAATAATGAATACCTATTCAACAAAATCAAAAAATCTAACACCTTATCCTCTATAATCAGATAAATTAGCTTTAATTAAATTAGTTATTTCAACAATTAATTTAGAAACCAATTCTCTTGAAGCATTTGATCTACCAGTTGCCAATAAATCCATATCAATTTTACCTAGAAATTAATTTAAAATTTACCAGTAATAGGATCAAGAGCTGCTTTTTTCATAGCAGTTTCCATTAATTTAACTGCTTCTTAAACATGATAATTTTCTACTCTTTGATTGAATTACATTTTTGCCAAAGCTTCTGATAATCTAATTAAAGATTCTAATTATCTTGGAGTAGCTGTAATAGTATTAGATGAATTTCCAGCACTTCTCATTTTAACATAAGCTGCAATCAATTCATTTTGTGCATCTTCAGTTAGTCTTGGAAATATGTTTTATTTTGCATAACATATATAACTATACAAAGTTTCTCTATCAATTATATCTGTATTTCCTTCTTCTTCTATTTAATTTAAATAATCTTGCTTGTCTTTAAGAGAATACATATTTAAAATATGATATGCTAACATTTCATCTCTTTTTTCATTGAATTCATCAAGTACTAGATATATAAGATCAAATCTAGATAAAATAGTTGGTGGCATATTAATATTTTGAACAACTGATTATTTGACATCATATCTAGATTTTAGTGGATTAGCAGCAGCTAAAACAGCAGTTCTGGCATTTAACTAACTTACTATACCAGCTTTAGCTACAGAAATAGTTTATTATTCCATAGCTTCATGTAAAATAGTTTTAGCATTATCATCCATTTTATCAAATTCATCAATACAACAAATACCCATATCACTAAGTACTAATGCTCCAGATTCTAAGATGATCTCTCTTGTTTCTGGATCCCTAGATACATAAACAGTTAGACCAACTGCTGATGATCCTTTACCTGATGTATAAATTCCTCTACTTGATAATTAATGAACACATTATAATATTTAAGATTTACTTGTTGATGGATCACCTACTAATAAAACATTAATATCTGCTCTAAATCTACCTTTACCTGCTTAAGAAAATTCTTTATTAGTTCCTCCAAATAATTAACAAAGTACTCCTTTTTTAACATCATCCATTTCCCAAATAGATGGTGCAATAGATTTAACTAGTATATCATAAATATTTGGTTATTAAGAAAGATACATTAATTTTTATTTTTATTCTTCAGTAATGTTTTTAGTTTTTTCTTATTCAATTTTAGTTTCTTTTTGATATGAAATAACATCAATAAATGTATTATAAATAGATTTTAAAACTCTTCTATTTTTAGTTTATCTAATAGGAGCAGCTCTATAAACACCTACAACAATAATTCTATCTCCTGGTTTCACATCATCAACATTATAATCATAAGGTACTAAATTTACAGTTTATGGTGTGTAACCTTCAGGTACATTTTCAGGTTATTCTTACAACTTAACATATTATTTATCTGTAAATTAACAGAGATTATGTATGAGTTCATAGGAATTCTTGTCTCTACATCTTTAACAACTAATAGGTTCTTCAACTCTTCCTCTTTCAATATTTACTCCTACTTAATGACCACATTTAGTGCATTTGAATGTAGCTTATTTCATATCTGGATATAATTCACTACATCTAATTACTATTCCTGTTACACTTATTAATTTATTTATATCCTTTGGATTCAATTCTCTCACTTAAACATTTCTCTCCAGATTTATAATACCTATTAATAATCTTTATGCATATAATCTAAATTCTTCTCTCTCTTATTCATTTCTTGCTTTTAAAGATAAAAAATCATCATAAAACACTTTTTATACTACAGTATCAAAAATTGGAATTATTTCTGCTGGATAATGAATTAATTGTTAATACAAATGATTATTGAATTCTAATAAATGTCTTCCATCAATATTTAAGATGAATTAATCTGTTTCATTTAATTAATTCAATTGACTCATATAATATTCCATTCCTCCAGATCTAAATTCTTTTAAAAATCTATCAAATTATTTTTCAATAGCTCTTTCATCAATATTTGTTCCCCAATATACTGCTTCATGTGTTTCAACAGTCATTCTTGTAGGAGAATGTTAAGATTATGTTCCTGTTCTCCTTGATGCTGTTGCTAGAATTGATCTATTACGAGGTTATACTAGAGATCTTGCTGGAGTATGTCTAGAGAAATCTCCTATTTCTGATCTCTATTCTACAGACATAAATCCACTCTAATTGTTTTTGGGAGGCATTTTTATATTAATTATATATTTATATTGCGCCAATTTCTTTTGTATACACAAAATCTGTTATTATAATATTTAAATATGTAAATAATTTCATTATTTTAATTCAATAGAAATATTTATTAATCCACTAAAATCCAAAGATTGTCTTGCAGATTGTAATAAAAAAGTTTCATTTAAGTTAAACTCATTCGTTTGACTTTATTATTATTTTATTTATGGGATATAAAAAAAAATAATTGGTACTAAAATACAAGGAGTCATTTCTATCATGGAGAAGAATGTCAAGTATACATTCTCTCCAGATGTAAATCCTGTATCTTTTATATCAGTTAATGGTAAATTACAAAACAATCCTTAGAATGTAGTAAGTGATAAAATTGACATAATAAATTCAAAAGTTGCAGAAGTTGTCAAAACTATCTAAACAGCTGNTGGTACATTTTCAGGTTATTCTTACAACTTAACATATTATTTATCTGTAAATTAACAGAGATTATGTATGAGTTCATAGGAATTCTTGTCTCTACATCTTTAACAACTAATAGGTTCTTCAACTCTTCCTCTTTCAATATTTACTCCTACTTAATGACCACATTTAGTGCATTTGAATGTAGCTTATTTCATATCTGGATATAATTCACTACATCTAATTACTATTCCTGTTACACTTATTAATTTATTTATATCCTTTGGATTCAATTCTCTCACTTAAACATTTCTCTCCAGATTTATAATACCTATTAATAATCTTTATGCATATAATCTAAATTCTTCTCTCTCTTATTCATTTCTTGCTTTTAAAGATAAAAAATCATCATAAAACACTTTTTATACTACAGTATCAAAAATTGGAATTATTTCTGCTGGATAATGAATTAATTGTTAATACAAATGATTATTGAATTCTAATAAATGTCTGCCATCAATATTTAAGATGAATTAATCTGTTTCATTTAATTAATTCAATTGACTCATATAATATTCCATACCTCCATATCTATATTCTTTTAAAAATCTATCAAATTATTTTTCAATAGCTCTTTCATCAATATTTGTTCCCCAATATACTGCTTCATGTGTTTCAACAGTCATTCTTGTTGGAGAATGTTAAGATTATGTTCCTGTTCTCCTTGATGCTGTAGCTAGAATCGATCTATTACGAGGTTATGCAAGTGATCTTGCTGGAGTATGTCTAGAGAAATCTCCTATTTCTGATCTCTATTCTACAGACATAAATCCACTCTAAGTGTTTTTGGGAGGCATTTTTAATTAATTATATAATTATATTGCGCCAATTTCTTTTGTATACACAAAAACTCTTAATATAGTATTTAATTTAAAAGTGTATAATATTTGTTCATTATTTCAATTCAATAGACATATTTATTAAATTACTAAAATCTAATGATTATCTTGCAGATTACTATATTAAGGCATCATTTAGATTAAATTCATGTTATTAACTTTGTTATTATGGTATTTATGGCAAATAAAAAAAAATAATTGGTACTAATATACAAGGAGTCATTTCTATCATTGAGAAAAAAGTTAAATATACATTTTCTCCTGATGTAAATCCTTCATCGTTAAGATTATTTAATGGTAAATTACAAAATAATCCCTAAAATGTTGTAAGTGATAAAATTGATAAAATAAATTCTAAAATTGCAGAAGTTGTCAATACTATTTAAACAGCTGTTGTTTAATAATTTGCAATTTTTGTTACATTAGTTTATTCATGTTTATTCATTACATCTTTTAATTTCTAACCATATAATATTGATATGAAAACACTAAATAAAATGATTATAAATTATAAAGTTAATCCAACATCAAAATAAACTAAACAATTATTATCATCTATTTAAATCAAATATAATATGATTATTGATGTAAACAGAATGTAAAATATTATTAAACTATACTTTTATTTTAATCGATATTCTTAAAATTCATCTTTAGAGTACGTCATTTTATAGTATAAATGAAAGAAGCTTTAAGATATCAATATGAATGTTTGTAAACAAAAGTAAATAATGACTATTTACAATGAATTTGTCACTAAAAATATGTCATTTATAAAATGTAAACAAGATTGAATTGCACATGTTGTCAAAGGAATCATTTCATATGAAATTCTACCCATAAATCCATAAAGCTTTATTAAACAATAGATTGAAATGCCAAAAATTAATCCTGCATAAATTCCTATAAAAATCCCTCTTCCACATGATAAATTAGAGTCTTCACAAAGTTGTTGTATTTAAAGCATAAATTTGTATTATTTAATAATAATTTATTATAAATTAATCACTTTTTCTTGTTATCCTTCTTATCCTTTTCTTTTTATTATGGAACAGGTTTTTAATTCTATTATTATCCCTTAGTATTCTTTTATTCATTCTAATCCTTTTAATCTTATTATTTTTTTTAGTTCTTATTTTTTAATGACTAAATTTTCTGTTCATCTTCATCATCACTTTCATCTTCATTTTTAGATGCCTTTGTAACTTTTTTAGAACCCTTCTTATTCTTCTTTTTAGCTTATTTATTATCCTTGAGAAACTTCTTAACTTTATCTTCATCCAATTTGTACTTCTTCAACCATCCAGCATAATCTGTTTTATATTATTCAGTAGCCTTTTCATAATCTTTATTATATTTCTAATAAAAAGGTTCTTAATATATTAATATACATCCTTCTTCTTATCATCCATCTCTCCCCATAAAGATGATATCATTGAAGTCAATTCAGTCATACTTTTATCTTGGTTCTTTTTCCTAAGATCATCATAAGTATCTGCCCTGAATAACATGTAAGCATTCTAAGGTTTCTTTGGCATATTTTTGATTGCTTCTTCTGATATTTAGTCCATTTTTTAATTTTAAAGTTAAATACAAAATATTACTCAGTTCAAATGTTAAATCATAAAATTATCATAAATGCTTATAATTATAAACTTTTTCATAATAACAACATATTCACTTGAAGAATATGATTGTGGATTAAATGTCTAAACCTTATGTGCGCCTGGTATGAAAATAAGGGAAAAGTATTAACCCTATTTTGGTTTTTGGAATTTTGATCTAGACAAATTAGTAGATTCAGGTCCTCATAATCACATTACTAATATAAATGAATTATCAAGATCATCTTCAATGATGGGAACTGGAGTATATTTCAAAAAGGATTCTGAATTTGAAGTGTAATTCGTTCCATCATTTGAAGGTTCATAATGGACAGTCAGTTTTTAAATAATGTTTGAAGAAATTGGAAGAAAAATAAAAGAAGTAGGAAATATCCTAACACTTTTTGATGAAATAGAGGATCATTAAAATTTAGTTTCAATAGTTGTTGATACTACTATTCCTACATTTGCAATTAAAGAAAATTCATAAAGTGTTAATTCTAATATGAGATTATAACCTTAACTTTGGTATTAATTGTTCTTAGTGTTATCAGATAAATCCATAAAATTATTTGTGAATGGTATTGAATGTGCAAAATTACAATCAGGAAAAGCTATAAGTTTTAAGAAACTTAAAATTGGATTAGAAAATGAATTACCATCATTTAATTTAGATACATTAAAACTATTTAATAGAAAGATTGAAGAATGGGAAATTCTGGCATCATCTTAATTATTTTAAATGAATGGAGATTGGGTATTATTACAATGTGAGAATTGTTAATTTGAATAAGCAAAATAATGTCCATTTAGTTATCATCTATGCACAACTGTAGAACTATATTCTTTTGGTATTAATATAGCTAAAAATATGGGATGGGGTATTTGGAATAATACAAATATATGGAGTTCAGAATCAAATCCTAATAAATTTAAAAATAAAGAGGGACTTGCTTTATGTTGCAAAGATCTCGATTTTGTTTTAATATGATTCATATACTAAGTTCTTGATTTTTACATTTTTTACAGATATATTTTAATAAATCATTTTTAAAATAAAAATAAATTCTCGATTCTTTTCTACAAACCTAATAAAACATATTTTAATAGATTTGTTTAGCAGTTAGACTTTAGTTAAAATATTTACTCTGAATTATTCCAAATTTTATGAAAAAATAGAAAATAAATAATTTATAGACTCTAAAATTTTAAAAACTTAAAGTCTTACTAATTTTATATAAATTTATATATTCAACATTGCTTAAAACAATGGAATGAAATTTTAAAGTCATCTATTAAGAAATTAAAATAAATCGTTTTTAGAAATTAAATTAATTAAATTTTCCAGAACAATTGTATTAATTAAACAAGTTTAAATAGACTATTGAAATAAATATATTAATAAAACTTTTATTATGTTATCATTTTTTTCCAAAAAGATGCTTCTTTAATTAGTAATATTTGTGATATCTAACTTCTACAAAAGCAAGATAATCAAATACAATATCATTTGATTTTGCCATAATGATTCCCCATGCTCTATAAATTATTAAATTAATTATTTACGCCCAAAAGAAATGTGAGAATAACTATCCAATATAAACTTAGTGTAATAAATTTTAGTAGTCTAAATCCAATCCTGACTTTTCGATATAAACTTTAACAAAGTCTTTTAAGATATCCTCATCAATCATTCCTTCTTCTATATAAAAATAAGGTGGATTTGGGTTTAGATAACTAAATTGTGATTCATTGAAATAATTAGCTATATCAAATCCTCTGAAGTTATAAGAAGAATACTCAAAATCGATAAATACAACCTTATCGAAGTTCTAAATGATGATAAGAAATGATTATTACAGGTGGAATCAATAAGATGTTATTTGCTAATAGATCGTTATGGGAAAATACAATGTCATCTTTTGGTAACACTGATTGCAAAAATTTAACTTCCTCTTCCGAGAACCAATGGGCCATGTTAGATAGAATAGATCTTTCATCTTCAGAGAATAAGTTCGAACAAACTTTCTCTCTTACTTACTATAAGAAGTCTGAATTTTCTTGCAAGTGTTTTTCAAACAAAGGTGTTCTGTCATTCATTTGACAAGATATATCTATCTAATGAAACTTACACAAGGTCTAAGCCACTAATGTATAAGTCTCAGGATCTTTCATTGACTCTTGACTCATGACCTCATTTTCAATGTATTCTTCTAAACGAACCTTTTAATATTAAAATGGTAGTTACATGTTAAGTGTGACCATAAAAATGAGGTCCCATTTTACATTTAGCAACTTATCTTGCAATGTGTAATTCTTATTCTCTGTTCAAAAATAATCCAACTCCGACTTCACCAAAATGACGAAAGATTATTTTGCTTGGAGTAGCATCAGCTTCAATAATATATGTCTTATTTGTTATTCCTATAGTCTTTGTAATTCTCAAATCATCACTTTAAAGATGGCTCCAAGATGGAACAAACTTTTATATATGAGAAATGAAGAATTAATCGATATTGTTCATAATATTTTGTAAAAAATATTTATGCTTATCTTTACTAACAATTCTCAATTTAAATTAATAGTAATCCGTCATAATTAAACATGAAATATCACCATATGATTTCATGATTTATAAAATATATTATTAAAACGGATAAGGATAGTAGTATTATTGTGAAAATATACATATACATAAATGCCAGTCTCATATTCAAAATAAATCTCTATTCATTTATCAATAGTTTATGTACATATTTTATTAACATATTTATATATATTATTTATAAATATACCTATTATATCCTTCTTATGAGTCAATTAAATAGATCAGTTAAATAGATTGGCCAATACTAATATAATGAGAGGCATTGTTTGGGAGAAGGGGCATATGGTAAAGTGTTTTAAGGAATGGACATAAAGTCTAATGAAATTGTTGCAATTAAGAAAATGGATTTGGCACTTTTTGAAAGAGATACTTATTTAAGGAATCAAATAGTTAGTGAAATTGAGATACTTAAGAAATTTAATCATCCTAATATTGTGCGATTTATTGATTTGATTACAACACAAAGATCATTATATATAATTACAGAACTTTGTAAAGATGGAGATTTAAAAGAATTCATTTAAAAAAAAAGAATATCTGAATAAGAAGTATCACAATATTTATTCAATAGACTTAAGGAATTATGTTATAAATTATAAATGGTTTTAAAGAATTAGTTAAATAAGGAGTAATTCACAGAGATTTGAAACCTGCTAATATCCTCAATCATGAAGGTATAGTTAAAATAGCAGGTATCAATTTAATATAGATCTTTAATTAGATTTTGGATTTGCAAAATACGTTGATAATTATACATCTTAATTACTTCGATCTTGTGTAGGATCTCCTTTATATATGGCACCTTAAATTCTATAGAGGAAAACATATTCTACAAAATGTGATATATGGTCTATAGGAGTCATATTTTATGAAATGGTATTTCATGATGTTCCTTGGAAAGGTAGAGATGAATAGGATTTGTTAAAAAACATTTTAATGAAACCTTTAGTGTTTAAGCATAACGGTATAACAGAATTTACAAGAGAATTTTTAACTAAAGCTTTAATAGTGGAAGAATCTGAAAGGATTTAATGGGATCAAGTATTTTAGATGTTTGAAAGTATGGAAAAAGGTTTGGTTTCTAATAATCCAACATTATAGAAATTGTATAATGATTAAAACATTAGTTGGATGTAAAAATAATAATAAAAAATGACTGGAGATTAATTATGTAAATAATTAATATTTTTATAATAAATGAAATAAGATATTGCTTTTCGTCATTTTGTTAATTTAGAATTATATCAAAAATTAGATTAATTAAAAAAAATATTTAGGGTAGATCAATCTATTGAAGAATGTATTCTCTAATTATCAAGACTTGTATTAGCTTATAGTTATCTTTTGGTTTAATTAATTGAAGAAACATGTGATTCTGGAGAAGATATGTTAATTAAAGGTACAAAATGGAATATATTGAATTATACAAAAAATGAATAAGAATATTATAAGATATTTTTTGCAAATTGTAAGGATGCATTTTTCAAAGATTCAATTTAATATGATGGGGAAATAAGTGATGTTGAAAGAAATAAATTAGAAGAGAATTTAACAAATAAAATTATTAAAATCATTGGAGATAGTTTTGATGATTTAAAAAAGAAAGCTGCTGAAGAATAACAGTATAATATTAATAATAATTTAATTAGTTATTCTTCACTTATTGCAATTGAATTGTTATTAGATTAATAAATTATTCATAAAAATATTGTTAAAATTACAGAAATCGAAGTTTAGTAAATATTGGTTGAAAAATAATAAAAGGATGATTGGAGAAAGATTTTGGATAGGATAACAAGTAAATGGAGATAATTGTAAAAATTATGAGATCCTTAGTCATTATAGATATATATTAATTGTTTATTTAAATTAAAACTTATAGTAAATGGTTTCAAGAATTCTTGTACAACTTGATTCTTAAATTGAATGGATTATCATCATATTAGTAGCATTCTTTGTAATATTAATAATTGGACTATTTATATATAGATTATGCAGAAGAAAATAGAATTCGTAACCTAAATATATAAATAATTCCAAAAATTTCAAAGATGTTCCTAAGTCTGAAAAAAATCAAGATGATGAAAAATTGTAAAATAGAATGGATACATCAACTACAAAGAAAGAATTTTTTGTTATTGAAGAAGAGCCAGAAAAAAAAAATGATAATAATGATAATAATGAAAATTATAATCCTGGTGAAGTTAATGAAAGCATTAATTTAAGCAATGTATTTAATCTAGAAGGTGAGGGTAAAAAATATCAAAATAATAAGTATTAATAAATTAGACAAAATTGAATTAATTCCTATATATGTATATTATATAATATGAATTCATAAATTGTAAAAAAACTTATAAAAAAATTTAAATTATCAATTATCCTCATCATTTCCACAAAGAATTGGTATTGAACAACAATTCTTTTGCATTTATACTTTCTCTTGTTCAGCAGCTTGTTAAGCAGCAAATTAAACAAATATTTATTCTAGGTTTGGTTAACTTATTTAAAAATCTTTGATTAGTTTCAAATCATTTTATAAGATTTATTAGAAGATGTAGAAAGTTTGATAAAATTAGAATCCTTTTAAAGGAAACTTACAAATAATCTTTCCAGTATGTTCATCTTATCTAAAATCTATATTTCCAAAATTCTGTGTTAATTATTATTCTATTTATTAAATACTTTCCTAAAAATAAAATAATAATATACTTAGTTAATGGGATCTATTAAAATTCTATATCCTTCTCCAAATTTTTATTTTAAATGTTAAACTGTTCCAATACAAGCAAAAGATCCATTAACTTAAATTGCAATTTTATTACATAAACTTTCAGCTTCATCCATAGTATGTGTTGTTAAAATAACAGAACTCTATCTTAATTTAACACCTTATTGGATAGCATTCCATAAAAATCTACGAGCTATTGGATCAACACCAGAAGATGGTTCATCAAAGAATTACATATTTGTTCCACCCATAAGAGCTAATGCTACACATAACTTTCTTTTATTTCCTCCACTTAATTATCCAGCTAATGAATTTTCATAGTTTTCTAATTACATCACCTTTAAGAAATATAAAATAGATTCTTCTAATTCTTATCCTTTTAATCCCTTTAAATATCCCCATAATTAAAGATGTTTTCTTACAGATACAATATCATATAAACTATCAAATTATGGACAAATTCCAACATTTTAATACACTTCTCCTAATCCTTTTTTAATTTCTTCCTATTCTAAATAAATATTTCCTGAAGATGGCTTTAATCTTGATGTAATCATATTGAATGTAGTTGATTTACCAGCTCCATTAGGTCCTAATAAACCAAAAATTGTTCCTGGTTCAACACCAAAAGATGTTCCTTTGACTGCTTAAAATCCATTTGCATATGTTTTTGAAATCTTTCTAGCTATAATTCTATCTTAACATCTTGGATCTAAAACTCTTTATTCTTCTGTCAATACATCTTAATCATAAATTGTCCCTAATTAACCACTGTTATTAGCTGCCAATAATTATCTATTATCAAGTAATAGAGTAATTCCAAAGTAAGCAATACCTTATAAAAATAGAATTATTATAAAAATGTAAGGCTTAATATCATCACCAAAGGCACTTAAACTTTGAATATCACCTGTTGCTCCTACTAGGTCTAAACTATTCAAAAATGTTACACATCCTGAAAAAAAGGATAAAGAAGGACATAAAAATGTGAGTATCCATAATCCAGGTTCATTCTTAAATGAAACTAAATAAATGATGATAGCAATCAAATAAAAGCCAATAACTTAAATTATTAGTAAAGATTTAACAGCAGAATTAAATGAATTAAACATCCAAGATAACATATATGAAAATGGTAAATAAGCAAAGAAGTTGAAAAATACTAATGTATAAAATATTGAATTGTTTAATTTTGAGTAACCACAAGCAACTACTGTGATTATAAAGATGATAAGCAAAATTACACTTATTATTAGATCATAAATATAATAGCCTAACCAAAATGGTAATATTCTACAACCCATAACATTTAATGCATATTTCTGCTTTTTTTCTCTTTCTTCAACAGGTTGACTACCTATCTAAGAGCTAGCTATAGCTATTCCTAAAATTATATAGCCATATGAATCAAAAACAGCTAATGTATTCTCATAAAATTCATTTTCATATAATTCAGCATTTTTTTCAACAAATGATTTATAATATACTGTAGTTAAAAGTGGTCCTAAAATTATAAAAACTGCAGGCATGATAATTCCAACAATAAGTCTTTTTGTGGTTACATTATAATGCTTTTTTAAAATGCATGACCATAATTATAGACCAAAATCAAATACAGGTGGTCTACTTAAACAAGAAGGAGGGACTATTTTATTTAATTCTTCATTCAAATTTACTTAAGCCCCATCTTCAGTATTTTATAGACCTTATACTTTTTTTTTTAAGAAAGACTCTTCATCCATTCCAATATTTATAAATGCTTCTTCCAAAGTATTCATAATTAAATTCAATTCAATTTATGGATCCTTCTCTAATTGTTGAAATAAAGGTAATAGTTCTTCTTTTTTATCAAAATTTATTGAGAAACTTAAACATTCTGAAGGAGTTTATGCATTTTCTCTTGAAGAAGGAACGCATTTTTTTGTAAGAGCTAATAAATTTTTAGATTTTTTTTCCCAATCCTAACTTCCTTTATTATAAATATTAAGATGATAACCAATTCCAAAATTGACTTTAACAAAATCAACTGAACCTACAGTTAATAATTTTCCTTTAGCCATTATAGCTATTCTTTCTGAAAGAACCTCAGCTTCATCTAAATGATGAGTTGTTAAAACTAAACTTTTTCCTTCACTCTTCACTTATATTAAAATATCCCATATCTTTTTCCTCGAAATTGGATCCATTCCTGATGTAGGTTCATCCAAAAATATGACTTTTGATTAACCAATTAAAGATATAGCTAAACTTAATTTTCTTTTAGTTCCTCCAGATAAATTCTTAGCAAGTTTAGTTCTATCATTTAAAAGATCACATTTATTAATTATCAAATCAATATCTAAATATAGTTATTTATCCTCAATTCCTTTAATTTTTCCATAATACCATAAATGTTAATCACATGTCAATGAATCATAGAGAACATCTCTTTGAGGACAGATACCCAAATAAGATCTAATATCCTCAAAATCAGTATCTGTATTATAATATGATATTAGTCCACTATCCTTTTTGATTAATCCAGTTAATAAAGAGATTAATGTTGTTTTACCAGCCCCATTATGACCTAACAAACAGAGAATTTGTGAATCATAAATTTATAATGTAACTCCATCAACAGCTTTCAAATCACCATAACTTTTTCTAACATTTTTAATTTAGATGGATCTCTAACATATATATATTTAATTTACTTTGACTTGTTTTATATTTTCAAAAACTTCATGATATATAGCAGAACTTGCATCCTCTTAAAATTCTGATTGTCTATTGCTAATAAATGGTTTTCCCATTCCTCCTAATTCATATGATGATGATAAAACATCATTTTAAGTTTGATATTTACAACCAAGGAAAAAGAGAGGATGTTTATTTGTACCGTATTCATTTGGTAAGACTTATTCCAAATAATAATAGAGAAATGCATATATCAATGCAGATGATGCTTACAATGCAAAATAACCTCCTACAGAAATTCCCCAATCTTGAATAATTACACCTCCCAATTAAGGAAAAATATAAATATCAAATCCAAATGTAGGAAAACAAAACCCTAGTAACATAAGAAGTCCTGCATTACTATATTTATTTCACATATTTATACCTATTAATTTTTTCAACATTTAATAGTTATGCACAAAATGAACCAATAATTGTTATTATTACTGACATGTCTGCTCCACTTCTTGGCTAATCAAACAAAGCAGTTATAAAATAAGATTAAGAACATTAACTTAAGCCAAATAAAATAAAACTTCCTACTATTTAACCTCCATCCAAATAATTTTTACCACCTTTAGGATGTTAAAAACAATTAGTAGGTACTGTTAATAACAAAAATACAAAACAAACTGATAATAATCTTGAGAAATTAAATAGAAGCCATCCTAATTAATATGCCGATCCTTTTAAACCCATAATCTATTCTATTATATATATTCTTTACCTTTTAAATCTCTTTTTGTCTTTCACTCTTTTCAGCTATCATTTATATTACAATATATCTAGATGTGGCTAGAAAGGTCATAGGTACAAATTCAGCCATAATTTCAAGGAAAACAGGATTATTTTCTTTTTCTAAAATTTAAGAATATTCTTAAATTATTACATGCTACCATTAGCATAACAAACACAATTATTGGCACCAAAAATTCACCGATGTATTGCTTTTCTTAGAAATACACCATGTAATTCTTTTAGAAGACTACAAGTATCTATTAGGCAATAGAAGCCATTAAAAGAAATTAGAATTATTTAATTATCTAAAATGAGTTTTTTTTTATATCTCTAATAAACGCTGACGTAATCTATTTTTATATTGCATAACATTTGTTTAAAGAAATGAAAGAAAATAAAAATTTTAAACTATCTTTAATCAAGACAAAGAGCTTATAAGATTTATTATTAAAAAAATGGAGAAATTCTTTTTTTACAAATAGGCGGATTTAAAATATATTCTCAAAACCTTTGTTTATAAATATATCGATTCTTAAATATTTTTAATAAGAACACATATGTACTTAATAATTCATCTAAAATCGATTAATATGATTAATAGTTATTATTTACTTTTCATTTTGATTAAATAAAATTATATATTACTACTTAGGTTCAAAATCATGTACAATCTAAACCTTATTCATTTATGTTCTAATTTATTTAAGATGTCTATCACAAGATTATTTAAGAAATCTTTAGAATTTATATTATAAATTATGAGTAATTTTAATATAATTTAGAAATATTTTTATACAATCAGAAATAATTCTCCAAAATTTCTTATTATCTCTTAAAGATAAATTCTGATAAATCATTGGAATAATTTTCAACATTTTATGGATTTAAATAAATGATATACATTTTCACAAATAAAATCCATAAACCAATTCCACTACAATAAAAAGCATTCCAAAACTTTAATCCTAAGATGAAAAACAATTTTGTTATTATTCTAATAAAACTCTTTTATATAAGCTTATATAATGGTTAAAATTAAATAATAGATTTATAATCCTTCCAAAATAACTAAAAAAACTTCCAATATTCCTGATAATATAAGAGCATTTAAAATCCTTAGATTTTGCACTATATTATTCCAATAAAAAATTCAATTAATATTGGCAAAAATGGCTTGAATATTCCTGCTATTAATTCTTTGATATGATTATTCAAATAACCTCAAATAAATAATTCCTCTTGGACATTATATTACAAAGTTATCATTATCATCATCTTAAAATATCAACAAAGAAAATAATGAGTGTATCAAAATATAGAAATAAAATATATTCTTAATTATTACAAAAAACATTTTCAAATTAATTTATTACTTTTTTATTGAATTCTTTGATTATTAATAATATAATCATATAATGTCATTAAAATAAATTATGAAATACGATAATAATAATTATTATTATTATTTTACTTTTCTATTCATTTAATTTCTCTAAGAAATCTTATTAAAAGTGCTCAGAGACAAACATATATGACTATGAAAGAATTCAAAATATTTTAATTTTTTATTCATCATTTAGCCACAATTATAGGATTAATGTAAGATTAGCAAATAAATCAATGGATTAATTTGTATTTATTGTATTATTAATATATTCAGTCAGTCTTTAACTTTATCTAAACATTCCCACATAATTATTGAATTGCCTCTCACAATTGCTTAACCAATATCAACTAATTGATCTGTGACATTTGAAAAGCCTGGATAAAGATTATCTTTATTCTCTGCTCCTTATCCTGGAATCAATTCTTTGCAATGATCAAGCACTAAATTCATAAAAATATCAAATCTAATTTTAATAAATATATGATTTTACCCAATAACAGTACCAATAATTGTACGTTTTGCATTCAACTTAATTTTTAATCTCTTTCCAAAATATTTATTTAAATCTGCTTAATATCCTTATTTATGTTGTTATCCTCTCTTTTATGATTGCATAGAAGTAAAATTGTTTAATATAAAATATTTTAATTAATAAAAATAATAAATTTTTTTATATGAATAAAATAATATTTAAAATGCATTGCATTTACATAAGAAAACAAAAGTAGCATAGTTAGTCTATAAATAAATCAAAAAATCAATTGGCTTTTTTCGATTTAGAATGCTTTTTCATTTATTCTTGATCATTTTGAAGATCATCTTTAATGTATCGCAGCTTTTTATAATACCTATTTTTAATCATATTCATGGTTTTTCCTGGAAACTATTTGACTATTTTATTAAAATTTGGACCAACCTATTAAACCAATTCCAAGATACGCTTATCTTCTTAGAATGTAAATCTGATAGGATAAATTAATATTGTTGAAAAATTACCTTTAGTCATTAATTCTACGCTTTCCAATTTATTATTTAAATTAATCATCCTCATTTGGTTATTAATTTTTTATTAGTTGATTGACTAAATGTTCTAGTGATTCCTCATTTTACATTTACTAAGATAATCTATAAAAATTTAAATATGTCTTTACTATTCAGATTAATCAATTCTATCATCATCCAAAGGTTATTTAATAAATATTTCTTAATCCATGATTATTTTATATATTATTTTATAAGATTCTTCAATAATTCATCATTATATAATTCTAATAATTTATCAAAATAAAATGCAGGATAAATATTAGTAGTATAATAAGAAGAAATAGATATATAAATTTGAGCTGTTATCTTTAAATTTATGATAAATAATAATTATTAATTTACAAAATTAGATCTCTTTTCAAACTATAAATCACCTATTCAAATCAATTCCATAGTACTTACTTTTATAATTAGAATCTTTGAGCATATTTTGTAAACATCGAGATCTCATAATTTTTTAATTCTTCAACCCTCTATCTTGATACCAAATTCACTTTATTATTACTCTTATAAAATGAATTTCTAAATCCAATATGATTTTCAAATTAAGATTTATTAACAGGTGATTTATGAACTGTTTATCTTCTTTTTCTATTTTAAATTAGAGGTTTTAATTGTGTCTTTAATTATATTGGGGATATTATTTTATGTTAGTTTTATTATTATTTATCAGAATCTAAATCTTCATCTGCTTCATTTATGGGGAATGGAGTTGTTCCTTCCATTTCCCCATAAAGATATGGTACCCTTTTGAAATTACATCCATAAATTTAATCAAGTGTTTTTGTTTACTAATCAATCATTACAATTTCTTATAAATATTATATCGTATAATTTGATTAAATTAATTTAGTATAGTACAAAAAAATACATATTTAAAAAAATGATATTTTTAATCAACTTCTTTTAGTGCAACCAAGATTTTAAAAAAGTGTTTCAAAGAAACCACTTTCTTTTCTAACAGGATGTTATGTTCTTCTTGTTATTCTAGTTTGTATAGGAGGCTACAATTCATCTGAATACATTGAAAATGCTAATGAAACACATTCTTATTTCATATTTGAACCAGAAAATCTAGTTGTTGTTGTATTTGTATTTGAAAATTTAGTATCAAGTCTTAAACTACTACTTAATTAATCTAGATTCTTTTTCTCTTCAAAAATATATTCTTTAATTTCTAATTGATATCCTTTAGCCATATTTAACATCCAAGGATGAATGAATACTTATTCCATAGTTAATCTATCCTTAGAATCTCTTTTCATAAGTCCTAAAATCAAATCTTTAGCCTAAAATATTATAAAATTATTTTACTTAATCACTAGCTGTAATTTCAAATTATTCTTACTTTAAAATATTTTAACATTTTTCAAAATCATTTCTACCTTTAAAAGGAGCTTAACCATGAATTAACTCATAAAGTAGTACTCCCAAACACCACATATCAAGAGTTTAATCATGGGGTTTATCTTCTAACATTTCTGGAGTCATATAATCTATAGTTCCACAAAACGTATTTCTTGTTTAAGTTATCATCATTTCTGCAGACCATCCAAAATCACAAATTTTTATATTTCCATCTTTATCAAGTAGTAGATTTTCAGGTTTTAAGTCTCTATGTATAATTTATTTTTTATGTAAATAATCTATTCCAAGACATGTTTAAAAGAAATAAACAAAAGCTTCATTTTCAGGTAAAATCTTTCTCTTTCTCAAATAACCAAATAATGAACCATTTTCTATATTTTATTAAAATCTATTACCAGCATACTCCAAAATTAAATAAACGTATTGTTCATCTTCAAAAAATTCAAATAACTGAATTACATGAGGATGTTGAAGTCTTTTTTATATTCGTATTTCTCTTCTTAAATTTTCTATTGAAATATCTGATTTTTCAATCTATAAATAATAACTTATTTTACTATTTTCATTGCATACAATAAACCTGTTTATCTATCCCTAGCTAATTTCACACAACCAAAACTTCCTCTCCCTAGTGATCCTTAATTGACTATTTCAAATTCTGATACATTTCTCTTGGGTAGTTCTGCTTTGCATTCAAATTTATGAGAAACAGCCCTCTTAATTAGTATTCATATCATTACCAATCATAATCTCGGCATTTTTTAGAACAATATGAGATTTTCTGACATAAAGGACATGTCAGGAAGCCTTCATCATTACAAGACTTGCATTTAGAAATCATAAATAAATAATTTATATTATATTATAATTTTTAATTCTTATATATTGAATATATTTAATATAATTTATTATTTTTTACATTAATAGTGGATTTCTTATTTAATTAAATATTAATTAATCTGAATTAAAGTTCATTTAAGATGAGAATTATTCAAAAAATTATAAAGTGAATTATCTTATTATGATGAACTAAATATCAATCAAATGATATTATTCTCTATTATTAACTCAAAATTTCATTATTTATTAAAGATTAATTTAATGCCAAAAAATCATTACAATTCAACTAAAAATAAATACCATAAGACAACTATAGAACTTCCTTATGCTTAAAATGTTATACCTGTAAAATCAGGAATACATAATTTAATTGAGAAAGCAGAGAAGCTTTTAAGAGAAGAAAGTAATAAATCAAAATTATATTAGAATTTTCTTCTATCCATTTAGTTGCTTATGATAAAACAGCCCCCAATGCTTTAATAATGGCTAAAATCTTGAAAGAAAAATTTCCTAAACTTCATGAAGTATAGAGTTTATTTTAATTCATTCTAGATTACTTTAATTGAAAGCATTGAGAAATTTTACCATTATGAACCATTAGAGGAGGGATTAGTCGATGTTAATATTAGTGTTAAAATTCCATCAATCATTATAAAACTTACATTTAATCCAACCTAAGAAGAAATGGCAAAACCAGGATATTAAAAATCGATATTTGATGAAAGATCTGCACAATTACTTAAATATCAAGATCCTATGATGAGAGAATTATATGATAATTCATCAGCAGCTGATACATAACAAGAAGAAAGTTAAGAAGATGAAGATTAGGAATAAATAGAAGAAGATTAAGTTGATAATAGAGACGGTGAAAGATATTATAGAAGTTAAGTAGATTTTAGATCTTCTTTATAAGAGTCAATGATTAAGCATAAGGATATTTATGCAACACCTTAATAAGATTAAATGGGTCAATCTAATAAAATAAGAACATAAGATTAAAATTATAGATAAGAGTTTGATATGTAGTAAAATAAGAATTAAAAATATGATAACAGACAATAGGAGTATTTTCATTATGCTCATAACTTTAAACATTCTAAAGTACCTGATGATGATGATGGCTTTGAAGAAATATCAATCCCAAGACAAAATTAATATTCAAATTCTAATTCTTAGAAATTCTAACATTAGCCTCCCTACCAATAATAAAGATAATAATATGATCCAAATTAATAATACTAATAAGATTTTGTGAATTCTGGATAATATCAGAATAATTATAACAAACCAGTTAGAAATACTGAATAAAGAAAAAAAAGATTGGAAGAATAACTTACAGATTCTTAATTATAATTTTTTAATCAATCGAATATATCTAACCAGTAATTTGATAGAACCTAAGGGAGCTTCCAAAATTAAGATGGATTTGGTTAATTTAATTATCCAAATTCAAAGTAAAATTTTATTAGAGAAGAACGAAATATGATCAACATGGAATAATAAAACACACAGAATTTTCATTTTAATAGGGATATAAGAGATGATAGAGATATGAGAGATAACAGAGATAATAGGGATAATAGAGATAATCGAGATAATAGAGATAGAAGGGATAACAGAGATAATAGAGATAATAGAGAAAAGAGGGATAATAGAGATAATAGAGATAATAGAGATAATAGAGATAATAGAGATAATAGAGAAAAGAGGGATAACAGAGATAAAAGAGATAATAGAGATAACAGAGATAATAGAGATAATAGAGATAATAGAGATAACAGAGATAACAGAGATAATAGAGATAATAGAGATAACAGGGATAATAGAGATAACAGGGATAATAGAGATAATAGAGATAATAGAGATAATAGAGATAATAGAGATAATAGAGATAATAGAGATAATAGAGAAAAGAGGGATAATAGAGATAATAGAGATAATAGAGATAATAGAGATAATAGAGATAATAGAGAAAAGAGGGATAATAGAGAAAAGAGGGACAACAAAGAAAAAAATGATTAGAGGGACAATAAAGATAATAGGGAAAAAAATTATAATCAGAACAATTAGGAGAAAAGAAAAAATAACGATAATAAGGATTAAAACTATAAGAATAAGGGAGGAATCAAATAAACAGGATAAAATGAAATAATCAACTATTTGGATAAAAGAAGAGAGCTAAACGAGAAAATGTATACTCCAATGTGAAAAATGTTTTTAATTTATAATATCATATCAAATTATCCTATTCATTATAGATTTATTGGACAGATTGCAAAATTTCCTCAAGGCAATGATGACAAATTCGCCAAACTGTAAAATATAAAATCCAAATTTCCCTAAAAACTTTATAAGTAAAAATTATCAGATAAGTGAAAGGTAATTATAATTAATATTAAATCAAAAAACTAACAAGAATATTAAAAGTTAAATAGATTTCTAAACATGTTTATTTATAATTTTGATACCAAATTTGTTAATTAATAATATCATTTATTTTTCTTGTTCTTTTTTTTAGTTTTAGAAAGATTAAAACTTTTTGATTCGATTTATCAGAAGCTTTATGTTTAATTTATAAAGTATTATCAATAAACTAAAATAATTATTACATATCATTAAGATTTTCTTATTGAATTTTACTTAATGTTGCATAAATAATAATGTACCAAAAATTTACGAATAAATAATAATATTTATGTTGAATATTTAGAGAATCACTCTTCATTAAATAATAGTTTGCCTTTTGGAATTGATAATCTACTTGATTAAACTTTCTATTATTAATAGACGAGACCCATTTTTTATTTAGCAAGAGGTGGCAATTAATATCTTTACTTTTAAAGTTAACCAAAATTAGTCTCACTTCTAAGCATGGATTTGTAATTTAGTTAACCTGTTATGCATTTATCTTTCACATTCTATCTAATTATTTTCAAACATTAAAAATTACAAAATATAGGTGTCTCTACCTGTTCCATCTCCTTAATAATTAATTCTTGGTGATGAATAATCTTATTGTAAACTATAGTTGTATTTCAATCTTAAAGAAGTAGGCTATTTAGGTGAAACTAAAAAGCGAAATTCTTAAGCAAAATTTCCTCCATTGTTATAAGAAATATAAGTATCTCTTCCTTGCCCATCATTTAAATAAACAGTTGGTTTTTTTTCAGGAATAGAGCCAGTGTTTAATATTTTGGATTTCATTTAAAAATGATATTAATTAATGAATTATCGATAGAAATAATAAAAGAATTTTCAAAAAGCCAATACATCGATTACCTAAACTTTATTTTATTCAGACTATGAAATTTTTACAACAGATTCAACAGGCTAAATAAATAAGAATTAAATAAATACTTTTCTACATATTAAACATTCTTATTTTTCAGTGAACCATTCAGTAGCACATTTCACACATAATCCACCATGTCCACATGGCATATAAACTGCACAACTTTCATTTTAATAACAATTAAAGCATTGTGTATCTTTGTCTGAATTGATTTCAGTAAGAGATATACGATTACTTAATTTTGGTTATTCTTAATCTGTTTTATTCTTCTTGATATGTTATTATTATTGAATTTATTATTATTATGATTGTTTTAACTATGGTAAATTATCATTATCAATTGCTGGTAAAAAGTAGGTTTGTGATAATCTAATCTAGCCATAAAAATTAATAAGATACTAAATACTAGGGTAGTTGAGTTAAAATCTATTCTTTACTTTTAATCAAATGATTTTTATGTTTAGAACTTGGAGAATTTAATTGATATCTTTATTAATTATCAGTATTGACTCCAATATTGTTATCTATCCCTCTCTATTATTAGATTTAACAAATAAATAGACTTTAATAATAAATAATATTTTAACCTTAAAGAGATTCGATAATACATAGTATAGACAATAAAAACTAATGAGTATATAACTGACAAGGTAATTGACAGAGAATTGTAACTGTTTTATCCTGTTGACAATTTAATTGTATAACAAATCATACTAAAAGTTGGAAGACCAGAAATGCATAAGGCTATTAAATTAATCCATAATGATCCTATAACTAAACCTTCTCAATATGTATACTCTACTAATTAATTGCTTCCCTATTGATTGGATCTCTTTCTTACAACAATTATGTGGCTTTACAAATAAAATCAAATAAAAAAATGATTTAGAAAATAGAAATTAAAGCCAAGAATATCCAAAGTATTGTAAATATATATATCCATTCCCAATCTATCCATTCAATTTATTTAAGATTAATTAACATAAGTTATAGAATTAAAAAAAATCTGAATAAAACTGTCAACTAAATTAATTTTCAAAATTTACAACTAAAGTAAAGCTTTTTTCATTTTTATTTTTGAAATAATTGTGTAATACCAATACAAACCATGTAAGTGTGAATATTAATTGCATAAGAATTGGATATTAAATAGGAAAGTCATTATTTTCTAAGAAATACATTAAGCATCCCTTAAATGCTAAAAATATAAATTACATAATAAGAAATTGAGAGTATTCCCCAAAATATCTATATGCAACAATATTGATTGTTGTATAATTTTCTAGACAAAATTAATAATTAAACTTTACTTATTATTATATACACCAATCTTAATTATTTAAAGAAAATGCAAAATTGTAACATATAGAAGGGATATCTTATAGCTTAAATCAAAGGCGATATATGAATTAAACAGTATTAAGAATATTTAAAATATAGCAACTAAAATTTATATCTAAATTCCTTATATGAGTAAGATTACATTAGTGATAATTGATATTGCTGCTCTACTTTAATGTAATTGAATTGACTATATTTGAGGTTATTCTTCATAATCGAAATTACTTTCTCTTGGGGACTATGCTTATGATAATTATAATTAATTCATTTATTTTTCTAATAAATTTAATATGAGAAGGTAATACCTTAGATTTTTTTTTGCAATGGGCACATCTTAAAAATTCATTCATAGGATGAGAATTCCAAATTATTAGTTTTCTTAAATCACATAAGCAAATGATTATAGAGCAATTTTAAATTAACTTAACTAATTGCATTAAGGAAAATAATTAGATCAAAAATGTAAATGAATAATTTAATTTTGAAAGAAGTTTCAAGTTTAATATAATAATTAAAGCCATATTTACCTTAATTTGAAAATCAAGAAATAAGAGAATTAGTATCCATTTGTTTTTAATAGTAAATAAATGATGAAAATTATGCATAAAAAGTATTTGATAGAACAACATAATTATATTTAGAATAGTATTATTAATAATATAATAAATTAGATAAGCCTCCTTGACAGAAACTCTTGACATATTATCCTTATTAGTGTCAGGAAATTACTCAAAATAATTTTTTTAATAATAATTCAATTTTGTAGCTGCTGTATCATAGGCTCCTGATTTAAATGCATCATAAATTGGATTGGCTATGTTTATTTATGGATAAGTTTCATAGTACACAAAGTCAACAAATAAAGAAGTAGAGCAATCCTTTATTTTAAATTTCAAATAACAAATAGATCATTTTAAGTCAGGTGATCTTAAACATTTCTCTTTTGGTTTGATATTGGCTAGGATTTAAAGGAAGGATATATTTGATTTATTGGAAAAGCAGACTTTAGTTACTGAGATGGAATTTTAAGATTTAATAAGGTATATATCATCTTATATTCTAAATATAGAGTTGGTACAGGAATAGCATTATTTGGTAATGGATCACCTGAATTTTGGAAGTTATTGGAAGAATAAGCTATAAAGAATATCCCAACAACAGAGCCTTAAAATATTACAACCTTATTTATGTTATATAAACAATTTGGACATGGAACATTTGAAATTTTTAAACTTTTTGAATAATAATTCATTGAGAGGTATGATTAATTCAACAATCTTTTAAAATTACAAATGTTTTCAAGCTTTGCTAAAATCAGATACCCTTCTTCTGCTATTTTTAAACTCTTTTTCAGAGATATTGTTGGAATAATTTAGAGTGTCAATATTACAGCAGTATAAATGTTAATTTTTGATTGTTAAAAAGTAATAAATCAAATTAAATTAATTTAGATTTTCCCTTAATTCCCTAAGCAAGTTTAACAATTCTTTATTAACTTCATCTTAAAACATTATTAGAAATTTAATCCAGTTATAAAATCAAAGCTTTATGATTCATTTTAAGAATAATAATTATTGACTGAGGAATTAGAAGTTGCTTTGTTAAAAAAAAAATGAGTATAATATTAAACGATTCATATTTAATATAATTATATATTTATAAATATATAAACAATAACTACTATCAAATAAAAATAGTTTATGCACAGACCTAAACCTCATATAAGAGTAATGTAAGAAAAGGAAATGTTAGATGGATATAGTAGACTTTAGTAAATAGGACCACTCATAACAATACCTAGAACTATTGATCGCATACCAAATATGAAAAAAGTATAGATTTTAGAAGATAGATATACTTAAATTGAGAAAGATAATAGATTGTTATTAGAGAAGATAACAAATATTATGAATAGTACAAATATCAAACTTGATAAACCAAAGAGAATAAGTAGCTTAAATTCAAGAAAGAAAACTGAACAAGATTAAATAAGAAGAGATAATTTAATATTGTTTAAACATATCACTACAAAAAAATCATCATATTCAAAATAATAATACGATAAGGAGTGGAACTAAACAAAATAATATTTTTATAATTTATCTGGATTAAGACCTTCAACATAAAAAAATAAGGGACTTATCAGATCCTTTGAATTTTGACTTCTTATTAACTTATTAAATTAGTTTTAAAAAGTTTTATCTTGATTATACAATATTAATTCATAAAATATTTAGAACAATATATTCAGTTACAATAAATGTATCGATTCTTAAATAACCAAAAGGACATAAAAAAATAATAATTTTAATCTCAAAATAAGGTTCATCATTCCTCTTAATATTGTAAGTTACTAATAATTTATTAATATATTTATTTATCTAACTTATGAGTGATTAAGACTCTTCTCATATTGCACTTATTGTTGTGTTCAGTATATTTATTGGACTCTACTTAATTATATTGACTATCTTACACTGTTTTGGAAAGATAAACAATATCATATTTCCAGCTCCACTTCCGACGTATGATGAAAAATATTTTGAGGGCAAACTTTATTTTGCAAACCTTTATAATTAAGATGGTAATTTGGGTAAAACTAAAATAAACGTAGTTAATGGAAAACCAACTGATTATTCATAAAATCTTGAAAAAGTTAGAAGCCTTCCTTATGTTTATATTAAAAATATATATTCAGAAACGAATTTATATATAATATATTTTCATGGTAATGCAGAAGACATGTACATATTATATTTAATGGGTTTAGGTATGCAGCTTCTATATTTATGGAATAATTAATGAAAATGATAAATGCAAATATGTTTGTAATAGAATATCCAGGTTATGGTATATATAGGAATTTCTAAGCAAATTCAACATTAATAGAGCAAGATTCATTAGTATATTACGATGAAATTAAAAAGGAGTTCAAATTAAATGATGAATAAATCTATGTTTTTGGAAGGTAAGTTATAATTTATATTAAGATCAATTGGCACTGGGCCTTCATTTTATTTAGCTAATTAAAGAAATATTAGAGGATTAATAACTATGTCTGCTTATAAATCAATTAGACATATAATAAGTGATTTTTGTTATGGATGTGGATGCATTTTAAACTTCTTATGTTGTTTGCCTAATCTCTTTAGAAATTTAGAAAGATCATAAGAAATTAAATGTCCAATAGTGTTGATTCATGGATTAGATGATCCTCTAATTAAATCACATCATTCCTAAGAAATCTATTAAAAGTATTTAATATTATAATAATTTAAGTCTTCCTATTAATATTTAATAATAATCAAATCTCCATTTAAGGCCAAGAATGACACATAATGAATATGATATTGATGACGATATTGCATGTCCAATATTAGAAAGTTTTACTGATTTAAAATAGAAGAAATTTTCATGATTTTTTTTTCCTTTATTTATTATTCTAAATATAAATATATCAATACAAAATTTAATAGAATTAATGGATTAACTTGCTTATTAACTCTGCTTAATATTAACATTATTAATGTTGTTCCTTGTTTTAATGATGTTGTTTTCTCGTTCAAAAAGATTTCGTTCATTCATTTAAAGAATTAAATCCTATTTAGAAAGTCAATTAGATAAGATTATATTTCCAGCAAGATCATGTAATGAATATTAAAACATCAGCTAATAAGATCTTAAAGTCTTTAGTGTAGTTAGAAAAAATGGTAAATTTAGTATATATTAACTTTAAAGTGGGAGAAGAAATTTAGAATTAAAGGTGCAATAATATAGAATTGAATAGGATCGTTCATTATGCTTACCTTAGAAATAATTCATTTCCAAATACAGAATACAATGTCATCTATTTTCATGGTAATGGAGAGACGATGTAAGTTATTTAATTATGAATATAGAGATGAAGCAGCATATTTTGTAAGAAACCTTATGAAATCTTTATAATTTAATGCATTTTTAATAGAATATCCAAAATATGGCATTTATAAATATACTTAAACAAGTGCCAAGATAATATTAGAAGATTCTATTCTAGCATATGAACATATCAAAGATGAATATTAGATAGATGAAAGTAAAATATTTATTTTTGGAAGGTATTAATTTTTAATAAAAATAGATCAATTGGAACAGGACCAGCTATACATATTGCTTCATAAAAGAAATGTAAAGGTTTGATTATTATTTCTGCTTATAAGTCTTTAAAATCACTTATTAGAGAAATAGTTTTTGGAATTGGATACTTGGTTAGTAAATTTATGAATGAAAGATTTAATAATGAAGAGAACATAAAATAAATTAAATGTCCTGTTTTATTTATTCATGGTGTTGATGATACTCTAATTCCTTCAACTCATTCAATTTTCCTTTAAAAATAGTAAAATATAAACATTAATTTAGATTAAATAATTAAAATAAGGAATCAAAATTAGAACTATTTCCTCATATGGCTCATAATAATATTACTGAATTTATTTATGAGATTTCAGAAAAAATTGCATTAAATTTTAGAGAATTGAGTAAACCAAATGATTGATATATATACTTATTATTACTCAATAAGAAATATAAAACAAATTAAATATTCATTAGTAATCTTCATCACTATTAACTTATTCTTCTGCTTCTTAAATTAATTAATTCCAATTAGTTTCACCTACTTCTGATTAAAATTATTATTTTTTTTAAATATCTTCTTATTTATTTAACTCTCCTTTTAAAATTCTTTTTAAGAAATCTCTTTCTTCATGTAAAATCTTTTTAACTATAATATTTATATAATTTTAATACTTTTTTAAAACATTTCTTTTTCTTTAATATTTACTATATTATCTGGTTTTTCTTCTTCAATAACTTCTATTATTTCTTATGGTTACCATTGCTTTTTTTCTTATTCAAAATCAACTTCATCAACTTTTAATTTATAAGTAGGACTCATGACATGTTATTGTAATTCTTTGACATTTTCTTAAGCATCTTCTAAAATTGTTAAATTTGTTGTTGTTGCTTTTTCAATATTAATTCTATCTTTAGATTACAACAATCTTCTTCTTTTATCATTAAATTCATCTTTATCTAACATTAAACCAAGTTTAAATATGCATTTATTTTTTAATTCATCATCTTCTCCAATTACCTCTTCAACCTTTGCTAACCCATTTGTTCCATGTGGACTTAAAGATGCTCTTCTTTTTTGATATTTTTCATTCCTTTTTAATCTTGGAGGAATTCGTTCTCTAAATTCATTGTTATCATTTACCATCTAAAAGTGTGGCAAACGACTCATCTAATATTAAATTAAATCTTGTAATACTAAATAATCTTCAATATCCTCTGAAACTTCAGTCACAGAGCCTAAAGCAAAAGAGGAACTTCGATTTGCACTCTTTTTACTTTTCCTAGATTTTTTTTCAATTCCAAAATCACTAAAGCATTCTTGAGATCCTTTTCTCGAACTTGATGATGATGATGAACTCATGCTAATTCAATAGATTAAAAATCTTACCTTGTGCTGCTTGTAAAAAATTGAGTATCCATGACAAAATAATTAAAATATTGACAAATAAAAAATGTCCAGATATTCACATAAAAACTTAGTCTCATTATCACTCTTCAAGATCTAATTTACTTTTTATGACGCATTTTTAAACAAAATCTAAATATCAATTTTTACTATTTATTTTTTGTATACTGAAATATAAATTAAATTATAAAAATGTACAAGTTGATATAAAAAATTTAGATTCTCATTNTGATTGATATATATACTTATTATTACTCAATAAGAAATATAAAACAAATTAAATATTCATTAGTAATCTTCATCACTATTAACTTATTCTTCTGCTTCTTAAATTAATTAATTCCAATTAGTTTCACCTACTTCTGATTAAAATTATTATTTTTTTTAAATATCTTCTTATTTATTTAACTCTCCTTTTAAAATTCTTTTTAAGAAATCTCTTTCTTCATGTAAAATCTTTTTAACTATAATATTTATATAATTTTAATACTTTTTTAAAACATTTCTTTTTCTTTAATATTTACTATATTATCTGGTTTTTCTTCTTCAATAACTTCTATTATTTCTTATGGTTACCATTGCTTTTTTTCTTATTCAAAATCAACTTCATCAACTTTTAATTTATAAGTAGGACTCATGACATGTTATTGTAATTCTTTGACATTTTCTTAAGCATCTTCTAAAATTGTTAAATTTGTTGTTGTTGCTTTTTCAATATTAATTCTATCTTTAGATTACAACAATCTTCTTCTTTTATCATTAAATTCATCTTTATCTAACATTAAACCAAGTTTAAATATGCATTTATTTTTTAATTCATCATCTTCTCCAATTACCTCTTCAACCTTTGCTAACCCATTTGTTCCATGTGGACTTAAAGATGCTCTTCTTTTTTGATATTTTTCATTCCTTTTTAATCTTGGAGGAATTCGTTCTCTAAATTCATTGTTATCATTTACCATCTAAAAGTGTGGCAAACGACTCATCTAATATTAAATTAAATCTTGTAATACTAAATAATCTTCAATATCCTCTGAAACTTCAGTCACAGAGCCTAAAGCAAAAGAGGAACTTCGATTTGCACTCTTTTTACTTTTCCTAGATTTTTTTTCAATTCCAAAATCACTAAAGCATTCTTGAGATCCTTTTCTCGAACTTGATGATGATGATGAACTCATGCTAATTCAATAGATTAAAAATCTTACCTTGTGCTGCTTGTAAAAAATTGAGTATCCATGACAAAATAATTAAAATATTGACAAATAAAAAATGTCCAGATATTCACATAAAAACTTAGTCTCATTATCACTCTTCAAGATCTAATTTACTTTTTATGACGCATTTTTAAACAAAATCTAAATATCAATTTTTACTATTTATTTTTTGTATACTGAAATATAAATTAAATTATAAAAATGTACAAGTTGATATAAAAAATTTAGATTCTCATTAAATATTATAAATTTATTTATTTATTTATTTATAATGTTCATTTAAATACTTCTATTTCTTTACCTATTAGTAAAACAAAATTTTAATAAGTATTAAATATATTAATTTATAAGTTAAACTAAAAAATGAGATTTTTGATAGTTGTATTTGATTTACAAATTTATTCTTATATGATCCAATTTCTAAAAATATTTAGGAATTTTATAACTTTACTAATATATTAGAAATTCTAATAAATGATTAAATATATCCCTTTAAATTTAAAGAGTGATTTTATTACTAAGAGATATAAATTGTATTGTTTATTGATGATTTGTGTATGATTTTCTTAATATGGTAAAATAATAATTATTATTATTAATAAAATTTTAGTTTAACCAATTAATACTATTGTTAATCTCATTTGAAGAATGTGAAGTCTTTAATTTTATGTATTTTTTTTATTTATTTTCATAAATATTTGATTTTTTTATTTAGAATTTGATTAAATTTATGTATATTGATAAGGTGTTTCTTGTGATATTAAATTATCTCACATCAAATAAAATAATTTATATAAATCTCTTAGTCTTATGATAGGTAATCTTAAGGGTTATTTTTACATCTACTCATAGCCTTATACGAACATTTATTAGCACACTAAAGTAATAAATATTATTTCTATTTACCAACTTTTTGATATGATAATCAATATAGTAGATGTAAGTACATACGATATAGATGGAAAAAGAATAATGTTGATAGCTAGAATTATTGTATCAATATATTAAAAATGTTAGGTTTAAGCTGGAATACTTATAGTATTTTGGTTGATTTTCAAGTGTTTAAGAAAATTAAGAAATGGTTTCCTTAATGTTGCTACATTTATATATTTTATTTCACTTTTTATATGCTGGACTGAAACTGACTATTATTTATTTAATGAAATGAAGTAACCTTATACTAGTTATACAGCTGAAATATACATACTGTTACTAGCTTTAGTGATATTGCAAGAATCTTAAATATGTTAAACAATATCTCTATTATTTTCGTTATTCTACTCTCTTTTTCGGTATAAATATATTATTATAAGAATAGAATCTAGCTATTCTAAAATAAAATTGATATTCTTTCTTCAATTAGGATAGTATTAATTCATGTAGCAATTTAAATATTTTTGTTATAACTACCATAGCAGAAGTAGAAATTAAATAATCAACTTGTAATGTTGGGTTAGTAGTCTAAAAATTATGTTCCTATGCAAAGTAATAGATAATCTTAAGTCAATTAATAATAAAGACTTTCAACTTACATAAATCAATAAAATTATGATATTACATAGAGATTAAAGTAATAATTTAAAGAAAATGAAATTGCAGTATCAGAAGAGAATAGATTAGACACTGAAAGATAAAATTTAGACTAATTTTATGAAAATGTTTTAAATAATATACAAATAG